CCGTGCCGGTCGACGTGGTAGATGGGGCGACGCTCGCGCTCTCCCTGCTCGAGGGGGCGCCATCGCCAGCGTCGCCCGCGCCCGACTCCTGGGGCGCGACCGGCGGCGCCGCCGGCGCTACGCGCGCGGGCGGCCTTGCGGGCCCCGGGGCTGCCGTCGTGTCAAGGTTGAAACCTGGTCCTCCATCCACAGGTTCTCACTTTGTCCTCCCTCCACCATGACTCGACGCGCCCTCCCCGACCTCGTACTCTTCATTCGTGAACTCCTCGTCCTTTTCTGCGATGGGAGGCAGCGATGCTCGGGTCGACGTCTTGTTGGGGATGGGTTGGAAGCCCCTTCGCCNGTGCGCGCAGTGGATATCGTTGATGTCAACGGGGGTGCTGGACGCTTTCACGTTGCCACGAGCAATTGCGGCATAGGCATGTTCGGTGTGTGTGCGGAAACCGTTTTGGACGTACAGATTACCGTATCGGGGGAAGTACACCAACTTCCCCTCCGCTGTCTCTAACTCCAACTCATGTTTGTCTAGGGTTTTGGTTTCGAACCCGTCGTCGAAGAGGGAAGTGAGCGATACTAGGTTGTCGTCTAATCGAGGAACGTGTGCAACCCGTTCCAAGAACAGGTCTGTTGTCCCGTCGCGCGAACTAAGAGTCGCAGTGACGTTGCCGAACCCCACGATAGGGAAAAAGGTTTCTCTGGCGGCGACGCGCACACGTCGATCACACTCCTGCCATCGGACGAACCCATCTGAGTTCGCGAACATGTGCGTGGTAGCGCCGGTATCGGCAACATACTTACCCCGCCTAGCCTGCTCTACACCCCCTCGACCAACGACTTTGTGACACTCGCCTGAGATGTCACCGACCACCAGCGCTTCTTCTGCCACGTCCAGTGCTGTGGCGTCCGCAGACGCCCTCCCCGCCGGCACTTCCACCACGAGCACCGCCTCTTCGGTCGGGCACTTGCTCTTGTCGTGGCCGTAGCCCTTGCATGTCTCACATCGCACGGGCTTNACCCCCTCGACCAACGACTCTGTGACACTCGCCTGAGATGTCACCGACCGCCAGCGCCTCGTCTGCCACGTCCAATNCGCCGCCACCAGCCTTTGCGCCACCCCCTCTCCCCTTCTGGTTGCCGCCATCGCCACNCTTCCACCACGAGCACCGCCTCGTCGGTCGGGCACTTGCTCTTGTCGTGTCCGCAGCCCTTGCACGTCTCGCATCGCAAGGGCTCGCTCTCGGTGCAATCGGCCACCTGGTGGCCCTTCTTGCCGCACCGGAAGCAGCGACCGCGCATGCTACCCGCACCGCCGTCGCCGCCTCCGCCGCCGCCACCAGCCTTTGCGCCACCCCCTCTCCCCTTCTGGTTGCCGCCATCGCCACCGCCGCCGCCGCCGCCGCCGCCGCCGCCGCCGCCACCCTTGCGGCGGCCGCTGTTGCCGCGGCCCGGCGCTCCTCCTCCGCCGCTACCGTCGCTCGCGAGGAGAGCATGCTCCGCCCTCCGCTGGCCCTTTGAGGCCTTCCTCCCCTCCGGGAGGCTCGCGTGCACCGTGCTCACGATCCTGACGATCTCGGCCCTATCCAGCGCCGTTGCTGTCTCCAACAGGAGCTTCCCTTGTTGGTATTCGGGTGGGAGGGAATCAACGAAGTGGACGAGTACAAAGGGTGCTCCAGCGTTGAGCCCTTTTTCGCGTAGGCGTGAGTACAGCAGCTCGAGCGAGTATAGGTGCTCGATGGGGTTCTGCTGGTATGTGTGAGAATCGTGAAGTTGAACATTTGCTTCATGAGGGCTTGGTTCGAGCCCTGCGATTCCGGATCGTAGATTTTGTCGAGTTCCGCGAGGATCTGTTTTGCCGTCTCGCCATGTGTTCACGATCGCCTTCTCGGCATCTCTAACGATGGCAGTGGTCACAAAATGAAACGCTTGGAGACCCCTCTAGACCTCGTCGCTCGTGTATTCGAGGCGGTACAGCTCCGAGCTTGGCACGTTTGGGTTGCCGACGGGTACATGTCTCTCGTTGTTGCCGATCAATTGTACGTCCAGTCCTACAGTCTTGGCCGCTTGGATAAGCGGCTTTCTCCACGACTGCTACTCTCTTCATGTGGCTACTGCTGTAGCCGTCGAGGAATTCTCCATTTCCTCGAATCACGGGTATCTCACCTGGGGGGGTTTAACCCCCTCGCTTCCCCGTAGTCCGGTCCTGTGCCCGCGCCCACTCCGGCTGGTCTCACGGGATTCACTCTCGATCTGCTGGCCCAGCCGCCTTCCAGCAGCCGCCGTGTCCCTTGTCCACCGTCTCTTGCTTGCTGCTGGAGAAATCCCCCGCATCCGCCGTGCTGCTGCACGGGCTCTTGGCCTCCGGGGGCGGCAACCCAGCCGCACCTACTGGGTGCATCCGCCACGACGCTGCCAGGGTCCTTATTCTTTATCGACTCCTCCACCAGGGCCGCCAATTGCGAAATCTGCAGTTGCAAACTTGCAAGCTCCGCATGGCGGCCCTCCTGCACCGGCGGGCGGATCTGTTCTCCGCTCGGAGCAGTGGGCACCTCATCTCCGGTAGAGCTCATCCCGATGTGGCTTCCCTCGAGGGGCAAACTCTAGAGTGTTTGCGGCCTACGCCACATGCTTATCGGGTGAGACTGTTTTGGTGATGTACGAACTTCACGAGAGGTAGACGACCGTCCTTCACACGGACGAAAGAGGGAGTACACAACAGCGTAGTTCCAACAGCAAGGAGGGGCCCCGTGAATCATCGCGGTGTCCCCTACCAAACGGCAATCTTACCAATCTGCGTGACACCAAATCATAGAGCACATGTATCCGAAACCAATGTTCGCAGACCCATGAACAGTGTGCGGCATCAGTGGTGCACACCTTCAACGTGATTTTCACAGCACATATGGTGGCAATCGGTCACTGTCACGAACTCTTTACAACGGTAGTCGGAAATCCCTGTTTTCGAAATACCGGCGCCTCTCCTTCTTCTTCTCTTGACAGCAGCGTACATTGCGACCAAGACTAATATCGGCCCCAAATGCCCTTGTGGTCTTGCAGGTATTCATCGAGGCCTCATGCAGTATCCTCGTTCTTTGATAAAAAACCTCTTGGTGTGTGAGGTGTTGCAGCAATGCAGTCCGCAAGACAAGTAAACAAACATAACCGACATACTTATGCTCGGCTGTCGAAAAGGTTGAAGCACGAAGGATCAAGATCGGACAGATTTCCGCCGAGAAATTGGCGCTCCTGAAAATCGACGGGAGAATGGCCCAGCAGAAACACCCCGCAGCTGGGGCGTCGGGCTCGGAGGCAAAAGATGACTTCGTTGACTTGAGTTCGTCTTCGACATGCTCCTCAAGTTTACATCCAGAGTTTTGCCACGGTTCGAATACCCACGGTTCTATGGAAAGCAGAAGGTAAGTATCGGTCAACGCTGTCTATCGAGCGTATTGTTGGAACTTTGACTGAATCGTATACCATACCCGCGACTCGACCTCACCGTCATGCATTACCTTGATTTTATCGACGCTTTATCACCCCAATTTCGCTGGTTTGCCATAAAATTGATTTTTTCGCGGCAGGTTTGGCCCGGTCCTAGCCGATTCAGCTGGCAATTTCGATTTTCTACCCGCCCGAGATATGGCGAGTACAGCAGTTTGGCCCGCTCAAGGTGACGATAGCCATGGAAACGACGTCGCACAAGCCCACCACCAAAGTTATCAGAGCGACCATCTGCACCAGCAGCAGCATGGGGTGATAGAGTCTGTGCGGTCTTATGGCTCTTTGAGCACCGGTCAAACCGACCACAGAGGATCTGATGACGATGACGATGACGGGTCGAGTTGTTGTTCCACAACGGCTAGTCTCGGGCATGGGTCCGCCGTGATGGACAAAAACGAGAGGAGGAAGGAACAGAGGAAGCGACAAGGAGACGGGAGGCGTTACCGTCACGGAAGCAGTAATGCCGGTGACAAGACTCCCGTACCTACTGCCGAGAACATCCACTTTGAGGGACACCTGTTGCACCGCATTTGTGAGGTCACAGGAAAGTTTCCGGGAGGAGGTAGCACCGACAACGGTTCAGAAGGGGAAAGGTCAGAGGAATCACTGCTTGAAGATTCTGGGGAGCACCAACTAGCCCGGCTTCGCCGCAACCCTAAAGTCAAGGAGGTAATTTCTAGGCTCAAGTCTCTGTCCACCTCGCTGATCGCCATGTCGGGTCGAGGGATGGCCTCGGGCTCGTCAACTGGAGATGAGGGTGTCGAATATGCCGTGAGAGGGAGTAGGGCCAACACTCTTCGGCTTGCGCAGCAGGAATACCTTCGGCTGTTTGAGGAGATGCTGGCAGAGTTGCTCCGACTACAGCGCGAGAAGGCCAAGGTAATTTCGGCAACTTCTATGGAACCTATCAACATGACCTCTTGGTTGGAAAAATTGTTGTTGCCGACGAAGAAGAAAGGTCGAATTCGTCGAGTTGGATGAGGCAAGCAGGTTCTCTGTGTGAGGCAGGCAGGTTCTCTGTATCGGTGGATGAGACTCTTGATGGTTGATTGCTACTTGCGTCTGCGCGTTTGACTCTAGGCATTTCGAGCAGAGAAACTGTCGCTGCAGAGGGAGCTGGCACGCGCACATAAGTCGGAGGCTGCCTTAAAGGACGAGGCCGGGGTGCATTCCATACAGCTCGAGGCGCTGCTGGCGGTCAAGAAGGCCTTAGATACGGAGGTATTGCACTATGGCGGAATAGGAGGCCCGGCTAAAGAGAGCGCTGTTGTAAGGAACTGATGTTGTTGCCACTCGATGCACGAGATGATATTTGCAGTTTTTGCCGGCTGTGCTGTGCGTTGGCAGTTGATACTCTGCTCGCGAGGCGAGGAACTGAGCTGTATCTTCCTCCCAATTCTGTCGTGATAGCAAATTTACTCTTCCCCCATGGTAAGGAAGTGCCCAGCATTTGATCCCATCCACTTGACATTTTTATTGCCATCCTGCGTCGCCCGGTTTATATTTCTTGAAGGTTGCCACTCAGGAGGCCCAGCTGACCAGTCTTTCTGCAGAAGTGGAAAGCCACGCGAGGATGGAAAACGTCACAAGACGGGAACACTTCGCCGCCGAGCACAAGAAAGCCGAGTTTTTGAACGAGATGAAGGTGAAGGCGGTGAACACGCACCGTCGGGTGGACTCACGCACCGGCAACGCACGGTCATGAACGGAACACCGGATGACATGATGCTGAAGAGTCTCTAATTGCCCACAGAGATAAAGGGTTGGGATACTCCATGGTTGTCTAGAAACAGAGTCAAGTAGATCCTTTCGCGTTTTGGTTGGGCTAAACCACAATGTGGCAAGCAGGCCGAGTGTACCGACGATGCCAATGCACACTCCACCATGATAAGCCTTCGTGGTTTTATTTTTGGTCCGCTTGCGGCAGCAAGAAGAACAGGCACTTCGCACGCGCTTCAAGGAGGTGGAGGTGGAGGCGACGAGATCCGAGATGGGCGTGCGGTCCATGGAGCACCTCGTGGCCAAGGTCGAAAGGGCGGCGGCCATGAACAGACATATTTACAGGGTGGACGAAACGTGAGTCTACTCAAGAGGGGCCGTGTTTATCCAAGCCATATTTTTCGTTGCTTGTTGTCGAGATTGGGCGAACAGGCACACATCTCAGGCAAGGGTGGGGTGGGGGACTTGAGATGCATCAAGTGGCAACCAATCCTCGTGCACTTTCGCTGTGACCCCTTAGAACAAGCCCAAAGACTGCCCCTTCGGTATCCCCCGACGTTACCCTACATAGAAAATATAAACTGATCAAGGAGTCCAGCGAGAGTTTTTGCCAGACAATGGCCAACGACGACGGCCTGTGGGACTACCAGGACGGACTCACACGAAACGTCTCCAGGTGAATGACTGACGCCCTTGTCGTTTGTCGACGTATGCACACATAATTCCTTTGGCCAATGCCCCCGGCGCACTCCCTAGAAGCATTAGCCTCCAGCAACCTTTGCAGCAGTGCTATTATACTACCAGGACAACATTACGTGTTCTTATCCTCTCCCTTGATTAATTCTCTTCTTGGGCTTGACCATGATCACTTCTCGTGTGCTGTTCTGCCGCGAGCGAGCGGGTACCACAATCGTTATTGGCCAGCGTTTCGCGTATGTACCAAAATCAATATAAGATGAGCTTGGGATCTGGTTGTTCTCCAGCTGAGCGTACATAGCTGAACTCTCCAAACCGTGGTAAAATTACATCTCATTCGGGCCCGCACAGGGTACTTGGGTCTTTCGAAAGGAGAGCACGACGGCGCAGCTCAGCAGACGGGGTTGCGGTGAAACTATTCCACCTGTGAGGCACCAGAGCTTCATTGCATTGATAACATAGTTGTTCATTGTTTCCTACGCATATCCACTACCTGCAGGAACATGCTGCAGCGAATACGGTGGCAAGCGCTCCGGCGATTCGCGTCGTGTCCATCTTGTCACGGGCTCGGCCCGTTCACCACTGTGGTGAAGGGGGAGAAAAAGAGCAGGAAGCTGGCGGCCTTCAAGGACCGGGCACAGGTAAGAAGAACTGAATAGCGTCTGTCGTAGACGGGTTGGGGTTTTGCTTCTCTACTATTAAGCTTCAATACACCGATCCCGTTCTAAGGGGCATCGCTCGCGAGCACCACCTCAGGTCGAGGCCCGCCAGGCGCTACGCCGTTGGAGGTGCCAGGTATCTTCCGTGCACATCTGTTATCCCTAAGTGTAGTAACGCACCTCTTCGCATCATTCTGGTGCCCGTCGAACTGTCATATTCGAAATGCGACCTGCCACGACTGACCCCAACAGGTATCATTTATGGTAGTGCGACCCTGGCATATTCCTAAACGACGTGTTTTTGATCGTGAAGGGGATGGTTTCGAGCCAAGTTATTCTGCTGGTAGGACAACTGGTCGTGTTTGCGATGATATGCGTTGTCGTTTGTTTCGTCCGAGTCCAGGAAGCCACGAGCCCATGCATACTTCCTGGGCTGCTTTTCCCGTAGCCACAGGGTTTGGGGCCAGAGGCCTGCGTACGTATTCCCGAGCCTGAGAAATCGGGCTTACAGTGAATACAAACGGTAGCCAAAAAGCATAACGACGTATTCGCAGGAGGACCCCACGTTGATGCATCAGGAGAGGCAGAACAAGAGGAACAGAGGCAACCTGGACAAGAACTGGGCCATGCCGAACGTGCTCGTTGAATTCATGTGCCACCTACCTAAGACTGCGGTGGCTCTGCCGATAAAGCCACTCCGATGGCTTACCAGGCAAGCAATAAAGACTAGGAACAGACGCGTGAGGTAGGGAGGGGGGGCACGTCTTTCACTTCATTTCCTAAGAGCTTAACGACTTACTACGGGATTACCGACAGCTTGATTTAGCAACCAATTATGATTGCGGAGGCAACGTGTCTAGGATGAGGGAGGATTCTCATCCTCCTTCTGTCGGTTTTTCGTTCTAAGCATTCTATTGTGTCGCAATTGATTTTAGTGTGGATTCATTTTTGTTCAAAGACAGTTGTCTTCGCACGATTCTACCGCCGCCCTGGATATCGTGTCTATCTGTGAAATACATGCTTGGATATCTGCCCTACGTTGGCAGAGAGATCTGGCTGATCCTGGACGAGAGGGAGCGCATCGATACGATCGACGAGCAAGAAGGGCAGCCAACACAAAATATGGTATGAAATGTCCGACATGACACCGTCGTAAATCGACCCGAATTCCACGGTGGCATGTACCGCAGGGGACTTGTAGTGTGTACACTAACACCGGATGGTAGATCTTCAGTAGAGAATGCACGCCCGCACTTGAGGGAGATTGTGCTACAGTAGCGGTGGACACAGGTGGTGGCGTACTCGAGTTGTAGCCCCATATGTGACCGCCGCTCGCACAATCTCCCTGTCGCGCCATCTCTACAGCGGATCTACGACCCGGTGTTAGTGTACACACTAAAGTCCCCTGCGGTACACACCGCCAAAGGGTTCGGGTCCATTGTGATAATATCTAGTCGTTCAGCAGTCGTTATCAAAAGAAAACAGGTGAGAGCTATCAAAAGAACGACCATTGGAATCACATCGCTTGTGTATGAAGGACAGGAACCCCTCATACTGTTACCATGTATGCAGCCAACAAAATGCCTACGGCATAAATACGCGTGCGCTACGCATTTTCTCTCCAGTAGCGGCCCGCAAGTTGTCTTGCGTGGCTCTATCATAGTCCATGGCGCAAGTCCACACGGACGTGCAACTTGTTCAGCTTCACCTTAGTCGTTCGCGCCATCCTCGTTATTTCACCAGGCTGAAGCTAGGACAAATCTCGAAGCTCCACTGGTAACCCTTGTTTCGTCGGTTCACCGTTCATCGTCTCGCACTACTGCCGACAGCCTCACGACCCCAGCTGGCCCCAGGCTTCAACCCTATTGAAGCTCCTAGATCATTCCGGGTCATCGTGCATTCATAACCTGACCCTCACCCAAGCCCTTAACTTTCTCCTGGCGCAGAACGACTTCATGATGGAGCTGTTCCTCCGCCGGCATGGCCTTCGTCAGGACGCAGAGTTACAGCTCTACATCTTCTTGGTCTCGGTATGAATGTACAGTACACTAGGTTAGTCTAGATGTTCCACACCGAATCGATGCTGCTGCAACAGTAAACGACCATCCGTGTTGTCTCGGAAAGTCCTAATCACCTCAGTAAACAAACAGCCGCTTGGACGAGGCCATTCCAAACCACAAGGTGTTGTGTCGTCGACGCACAGAGCAGGTCCTTCCAGTCTTGGGCCTGTAGCCTCTCGTCGAGATCAATGGCAACGTGTAACCGGCGTCCTGCCGAAGGCTGCTCAAAACCTAGCCTGCAACGGGGAAGGCGATGTAGGCCTGAGAAAAATATCGGTGCATGCGCAAGCCGGAGACGCGCACGCGCAAGCCGGACACACGTAGCCCGCACAATGTTCACCGTGTGTTGATTGGATATATTGACATCTTGCCAACAGACAGGAATGTCAGGAGAACGGGATATTTTCGATGAATCTCTTCATCGTTTCTGTAGTCCCAAGTGTTCAGCGTCTAAACGAACGGCGCGTCTGAAGGGATATGGCCCGCCGATGCGATGATGATGTATTCCCCTGTTGATGGCTGAAAGGTCTTTTTCGATGACGCTCTCTCGTTCGCAGCTCAAGACACACTACAAGAAGACAGCAACGGTGCATACCTTCGCTCGCCTTATGGACCTCCTCAACGACTACAACAGCACCAACAGTACCGTTGACGCCCACGGCTACACACAAAGCGCGCCCGGTCATGATCACGACTCCAAAGGGAAGAACCTCAAGGTGCGCATTGCAGGCCTACAGCAGTGTACGCGTGTGACCACCTGGCTTCCTGTTCGATGTGACCGCTTCTTCTTGCGCACGGATTCAGTTGACAAGTGCCACCCTGCAACAGCAGTACCCATGTCTGGAGATGTCTTTGGTGGCGCACCGTCAGTTTATTTTCCCGTTCGTTTTTCCATCAGTGTCGACTGCAATGGCTCTCTGGCCAAGGACCCCTAACCCCACGGAACTACGTTTTGGAGGCAATCGTGGTGATTGGATGCTATTCTCTGGATTGATTGCAGGACAAGATGGAGCACTTCATGCGGGAAGAGGAGCTGTTGGAGCAGGAGGTACAGCCGCACAGGACCCCGCTAGGTCCCGCCTACATTCCTGTTTTGCTATTCACCAGGTTGGCTTATTGGGGCCGGGTAGGACTAGTAGTGTGTCGTACTCTCTACTGCTGTTCCTGTTCTCCTTTTCAACGGCCGTGGGGCTATGGTTTGAGGCAGCTTTGAGTTGGACGTCGCCAGGGATATTGTCTTGAAAGTGGCCGACGGGTGCGCGATTCAAAGTGCCCCAGGAGAGAAAAGTCAAGGAAATCCTGAATGAGCTAGGCATGGACCGCTGATGTCTTATTATTGCATTACCCTTCCACAGCATCTCTCGCTGCACATCGGTTTACCCCCTGTAGTTTGGTATTCGTCACGCCGAACGTTGTTGTCGCCGTTGATATGTGCTGTTGTTGTGCGGCTCCTGCCCAATGCATCATCCTGATGGTGGTGGTTCGCTGCCCTGTTTCTTGCCGGGGCTTTGTTCGGTCGTGTGCTGAAATGCTGCAACGTGTCCATCCATGTCTCCGCGGGCACGGCCCATGCCAAACTTCACCACAACACTTTTTTCACAAGGCGGATTTTGCTCAAGAGGTCTAAGGTAGACTTGAAGGCTCTGCACCGCGAGAGGATGCGCCAGCGCTTTATGAGGTGATGAAGATCCTCAAAGATCGACGTTGATGATCGCTAAAATGGCCCGTTTGCCGCACGTAACGTGGCAAGGCCATGGTTTTGGAAATGCTGGAGAACACCAGAATCTAACGGTGGGGTCGAAAAAAGAGCTTTTGCTTCCTCAGCACCCTTGTCGGCGTTGCCCTTGCTTTCTGCGGCGTTTTGCCTGCTGTTCTCATCATCAGCATTACCAGTTTAGAACATTGTTCACAGAAAGGGGATAGAAGCTTGACTAGTCGCCAGCTGTACCATAGTCGGTCGTGGAGATTCGAAAAGCACGAGCCTCATCGTCACCAATGTCCCAACGATCAGGCAGAGGCACAAGAAATCAGCCGCGGGTACAACAGCAACAAACGGCTCTCCTAAACACTGCCCTTCTGTGTGTGGCATACCATACCCTCTCACATGTTTTACAGCACCCTCGCCGTCTCCTCTGTCGTAGGTGAAGTGACCGTGAGTTGTTTCTTTCATCACAAGGCTGACGTAACATGTTATTGTACCCGGCAGGGTGATACGATAGTTCATAGAGTTGTGAAGACAATACGCCTGTGAAGTGGCTATCGTTGGTCACCCTCTCGGACAATGTACATACATTTTCAGAATGTTCCGCCGTTCCAGAATATGCCCCAGTCGAAGGGATGTGTTGGAGTCTTTACAGTGAGTGTTGAGGAAACCCTGCTGGACAATGGGTTTGGTCGAGGCTGCTTACACCTTTACAAGGAGACATTTCGAGAATGAAATGCATATCGCCTGCTTCGGCTCGGCCGTCCCTTCACTCCAGATCTGATTTTTCTTCCCTTCAGAAGTCATCCCCTTTTCTTATTTTCTTACTGTGGTGCAGCGCCGCCTCTCGTTGGCAGATGCAGGAGGCCGCGGCAATCGCATTCAAAGAAGCTGGGACAGAAGTTTCGTCAAACGAGTCCGCAGCAGTCGTTCCGATCAACGACCTGGAGACGGCGGTGGACTGCCAACCGGACGCCTCCGCCGCTTCTGCCTCGACTCGTCTCGATGCCAACCCCAACTCCGCGCACGGTTGTAACACGATTGACACGACCGACCCACACGATCCGTCGGCGAGAGAAGAAACGGCCCAGCACACGCGGGTAGCCCCAACCGCGACCGGCCATGGCGAGTCACGCCCGCCGGTCGGTGGATCGGGTTCGGGAGACACCGCCGCAGGCAAGAGCCACAGCAACCACTCGGGGACCGCAACACCAGCAACGACGACGAAAGCATCGACTTCGACCGGCATTCACAACCGCCGGGGTTCCGGTACGGCCGGGGGCCTCGCCGACCGCAACAAGAGCGTGTTCCCCACACCCGGCAAGGGCAAGCACAAGCACAAGCACAAGGCGCCCAAGCAGCCAAGCGGGAGCAGCGCGAGTCACGGCGGACAGCACGGCGGCGCGAGGAAGGACAAGGAATCGGGCAACAAGAGAGAATACCCGTCTGGCTTGTCCGAAGAGGGACACGACAAGGCCGTCGCCGGGGAGGGCGAGGTACCGGCTATCGACCTCCCGAAGCACGTCCTCACCGAAGACAACTGCACTTTTTGGGTGGGTTTGCGTCCGCATACATACAGATTGCTTGGGTCGCGCACTAGGCTCTACGTAGGTCTTTGGAGGTCGGAACATCAGGGCAGTAGGACTGGGCTTTCCTTCCTCTGTTCTGTTTAATGGGTTTGCGTGAGGACGCCCTAATTGTAGAGCAATGCCCAGTCTCTGCAATTGTAACAAGGAGTGAAACATCAATAGGGGACTATGTTGGGGTCGGTGACATCCCATTTGCTCACGAAAATGCACACACACACACAAACACACACACACACCAATGCTGCAGGTTTCGATGGAGATGGCCGTTCGTGTCCTGACTGTAGTCCTGCACTGGTGCCCCCCGGCTAAGAGACACGCCTACATGAGGTCCATCGAGAAAACCGCGGCTCTACTGACGTCGAGAGGTCATATCACTGGAGTCGAGGTGCGCTTGCCCCGCCTGGCCTACGTTAGAGAATAGGGTGATCTCGGTCTTGGATCCGGACGATCAGCTGCTGGTTTTGTGCCACCGTGGGGCCTACCTACCGCTTAGACGTTCTAGCACGCGCGTCTGTAGTCGTTTCGTGCTCAAAGGCTCTGGAGACATCCTCTGTCTGCACCACACCACCGACCACGTGCTTTTTCTGGTGGGAAATATCACTTCGGGGCATCTTGAGAAGGCACCTTGGTGTCCTGCACCCTTGCGAAGAATAGACCCCGGTACGCTTGCCACAACGCGCCGTAGGTGAATGTCGACATTGTCTCTCACACGTGGGGAACGTGTTGTGCACGCTGTACGCGATCCGATCATTCTAAGGGGACACGCAAGAATGATTCCACCGCATCATCCATATCGAGAACGAGCGACGCAAAATCGCACAGTCATTGTCGTCCCGGACCGTAACGCGTGTGGGACCAATGTAGCCCTGACTCCATAAGTCACCGCCTACCAGCCAATGAGAAATAGGTCGTCGAATGGTTGAGAATCTCAAAAACCCACAATCGGCATCAAACATAGAACGCCCCGAACGGAGGATCCGCGGGATAATTGAATACAGCGAAAATTTCCAAGTTGTTGGCGGCTGAATCCAAGTTTGTGTATGCGGCCAGGCGAGCCATTCGTTCATCCGCTCCGCCATGCGCAAGACCATCGCCGCCGTGGAGTCAAGCGAGAGCGCTTCAGGCGCTGGGATAGGCGGGTCCGGCGTCACGGAGACGATGGGCGGCATCCGTGGCTACTACGAGGAGGGCTGCGGCGTAGGCGGTGTGGTCACCGGGGACGCTGCCCTGCACGACGCCCGCATAATCATCGACATGGATCGAGTGAGGACGTGTCGTGGCTTGCGAGAGTAAAACGGATGGTATCTGCTGACACGTGCCACTACTTCTCGTCGTTTTTGCGGTGGTGTTCGCGTTGGAAAGGGGTGTGTTAGATGGATGCTGCTGTTTTGACATGGACCAGGAACGGATAGCCTTGTACAAATCCTGCCAAAAGGTCATGGGGGCAGATGAGGTGTTTGAAAAGCGTCCTACCCATATTGCGTAAAGGGAGGTGGGGCGTTCGATGACACGAGAGCTGCGATTGAGAGGAAGAAACACCCGTGTCTTTTTGGAGGCAACCATTGCAGACAGTCCTTTCTATGCCCGTGGGGAAACGTTTCAAGGGTGTGTTGGGTAAGGTACATACCCGGGTACAATTTGGGTATTTGTCGGGTATATACCCGTACCCAACGTTTGGGTACGTTGGGTATGACTCTCGTACCCGTACCCAACGTACCCAAAATATGGGTACCACACGCGTACGCATACCCAAAATACGCATACCCACGCATCATCTACCCGGGTTACCCGGGTACATTGGGTACGACTCTCGTATCCATACCCAAAATTTGCTTACGTTGGGTACGACTCCCGTACCCGCACCCAAACTCTGGGTACGTTGGGTACAGGACCCGTACCCGTACCTATATTCTGTGTACGTTGGGTACAGTACCCGTACCCACACCCAANACGCATCATCTACCCGGGTTACCCGGGTACATTGGGTACGACTCTCGTATCCATACCCAAAATTTGCTTACGTTGGGTACGACTCCCGTACCCGCACCCAAACTCTGGGTACGTTGGGTACAGGACCCGTACCCGTACCTATATTCTGTGTACGTTGGGTACAGTACCCGTACCCACACCCAACGTACCCGTACCCTACCCAACACACGTTTGGGTACGGGTACGGGAATCGTACCCGTACCTATATTCTGGGTACGTTGGGTGCAGTACCCGTACCCATACCCAACGTTCCCGTACCGTACCCAACACACCCTTGAAATGTTTGGCTTGACCTCGCAGTGAGCGACGGAGTAACACAGGAACACCGACAAAAATAACAAAATGATGCAAATGCGCCTTGTCGCCATTCTAAAACCGAATGCTAGGTCGTTGAGCTGGTGATGGAGGTGATGCTGTTAAGGCAGAACTCTATCGAGCACCGGCTGAAGGTGCTCTTCACCGACGGGGATGAGAACGGGGACGGTGTGCTGAGCTTCGAAGAGTTCAACCGGATTGTCCTCAGGTACGACGGCTGGATATAACCTACCACCGCTGATGCCGCCCTTTTCTTTGGTTGGGCTGGAGCGTTCAACTGACGTATGCATACCACTGCCGATCCCGAGATCGACTTGTTTTAGGTTCCTCTCTCCTGTTCTTGCTAGCGCTTCCTCCCGATGCTCGCCACGGCCGATGCTGCGACCACTTGTCGTGCTGAACTTTACACCAACCCAACTAGCGAAGACGCGGACTACTCTTCTGACTAATGTTTAGCCGGCCTTTGTTGATGGGACGGAAATATTAGAGGTGGTTCCGTTTCGGTGGTATCTCTTGGCCGGCGTTGTTTCTTTCTGGTTGTGTTACATACTCTATCAATCCCGACATAAAAAATACAAGGTGAATCTGTCTTCCCGTGCCCATCGGGCCTCGCAGCCCGTTCTTCGTCGGGGTACTGTATGGCTGTAGCCGGTATAGACACGGGGTGCAGGGCCAAGATGCTACGCAAACCACTGTAACAAAATCCCGTCGTAACATCTGCTTGGTGTTCTCGGCACTCGTCCTTGAGCTCCGATGATACTCGAACAGCGACTCTTCTTGCGTGCAGACAATATTGTGTGTCTCCCTCCCTCCCTACTTCGACGCCTATTTGTGCCGTCTGCTGTTATGCACGTCTCTACGCCTTCCATTGTACCTGATTATTCGTTTGTCTCGATCCTGGGACGAACTATCGGTTCCCTCTTGCCTTGATAGGGCCGCTCCCCACTTCAGCGAGAGGCGAACATTGCGCATGTTCCGGGAAGCGCAAACTGCCGGTAAAGAAGGCACTTACGCTATCGAGAAGGTAGGATGACAAAATGTAGACAGCTGTTTGCTGCCTTTGTTGTGATCGCCGTTGTTGTTGTTATTGCTGATTGTGTTCTTGGATGTTCTTGCTGCGTTAATGCTGTCATTGCTGATGCCGTGCACTTCAGCAATTGTCAACCCTGGCGGTATCATGATCATCGCATCAAATGTTTTGTGCTACTGTATTGACGTTCAGAACAGGTAGTCCCCGTTCGCTGCTTGGCGGCAAATTCCGAGAAACAATTGTATAGACGTTGCTTCGAAACAGGAAACATTCCTAGACCAATTCGTGGAAGACGGTAGGCTGAAATTTTCGCATGATTTGTGGCTGTGGAACGGCGTAAACGTCGATTGGGGTGTCCTCACTCGCCCCCTCCCATTGCATAAATTTGCTGGGTCCCACCGACGGCACTACGGGCATGACGATCGATGTCCTGGACGCCGTCTGATGCAGGACACTTTTTGCGACGTTTGCCGACAGCACGGCCTCGTACAACTGAGTGAGTTTGCCATAGCACACGAGAATGATAGATGCTGTCGTCGTCGTCATCGTCGTCATCGTCGTCGTCGTCGTCGTCGTCGTTGTGCCAGCGAGCCAGCACGGACCTAGACACAGCCTCTCATGACATTGATGAGGTTTTTCATATCATGGGGTATGCCTCGCTATCAATGCAATATTGCTACACGTCATATCTTGTCCACTACATGAGCAGCTGGTACAAGTGTCATCAATACAGTAGAATGCCCATGAACATAGGAAGAGCATTTTCGAATCGAAAAATTAGTACGTCGTGTACGGAAGAAGAAATGACGAGGACACGGTTGAACGCTCCGGGCCCGCACCCGGTGGCCATCGTTTGATGTGACTTGCTGGAAGTGGGAGGCGGGAAACTTGATCTCTCTACTCCTCATGACCGCTGCCCCCCCGCCATTCGCAAACAACAATCATTTGGCATGCGGCGGTCAGTCGACATCGCGCACCTAGAGAGGGCGGTTGAGGGAGGCCCTGATGGCGCGGCGCGCTTCCACCTGCTGCAAAACGATTTTTCGGAGAGAGTTCTACAGCAGCCTCTACAGCAGCCGCTACAACAGCCTCTGCAGCAGCCGGTAGTGTCGGCTGCAGAGTCATTAAGTGCACCACCATCGCCATCAACACCTCCATCCTTACCCGCAACGAGCGCGCTTAACGTTTCACTTGAACTTCCATCGTTTCACATGAAGAAGGGGGTGAGCAAAGAGTTGGGGAAAGAGAGGAAGAAGGGCAAAGCGTTGGAGGGTAGAAAAGAGGCTGCTCAAACGGAGGCGGGGGAGGTAAAAGTGGACGACGGAGAGGAGCGGGAGGAGGATGACAACGACGAGGAGGAGGATGAGGAAGAGGAAAAGAAGCAGGACGAGGCGGGTGTTGCGGAGTACCACGAGCGTGGCCTTGGCAGCGAAGTTTCGTGGGGCGATGGAAACAACGAAGGTGATGATAGTGGTGGCAGTGGGTCTAGTGCCGATGACGTTGAAGGTGGTCGTGGGGCCAAGGCTGAAGGGCTGAAGGGCGCAGTGGCGTTGATAATGAAAGGGAGCAAACCCCCCGTACGAGAGCGAAGAGGAAGGTAAACTTTGAGATCGCATCGCTCTTTTGTATCCCTTCCGTAGTGCTCCCAGGAAGGGATTCATTGTCTTGTACTTTGTCAACACGACCAGTGGTAGCCACAGACTACTTGCGGCGGCCTGGGTTTCAAATGGAAAGGGCTTCAGTACCGTCATTCTGGTCGTTTTGGGACAACACCGACAGCTTTTGGCCAGACGAACTTCAGCTGCTCGTCAGGTGGTCAGTATTTGCCCGCGTTGTCGTCATCATACGGTCGTTCGGCGATGTAGGAAATGTCTGGGGCGACGCGGAACGTGCAAGAGGAGAAAAGATCTGTTGGGAACGCCTTCCAGGACCTCGATAGCTCGTGTACCCTCTACGAAGCGCGTGGGGTTGCCACACTCCGCTATCAGTTGTTGCGGTATCCTCGATGTCTACTGGGGACCCATACCGTTGTCGTTTCCGGCTCTACCTCAGGCCTGTCCTGGTCTCAACTCAATGCGGTAGCAACTGGGGTAGCATAGGCCTAGCTACCCGACGTGCAGAGAGACCAGGGGTCGTGCCACCTCAAAAGTGGTTTTGGATTTCGTGCACAACGGTTGCAGGGTTGTCTTCGGCACTCGCCACGTCGTCGGCGGTGCTGGCTAGCGCGACGGCCACTGGGGCATCATCCAACATTCAAGCTGGAGTCAGCACGAGAACCACTGCTGATAATCCGATTTTTCGTGGTTCTGCTTCGGATGGACTCCTATCGGCAAGGACATCATGTTTCCAGAATTGGAGACTACGAGGCAAGACATGGTGATAACCCCCAGAAACAGCAGTGTCATATGATCACGCCGTTCGATTAACACCGAGAGGGACAAGTCGTACCCCCTTCGCAATCAAAACTCGCTTTTCCAAGGAAGACCAGAAGTCGTGGAAAATTCAAAACCCTCGAGTACAGGCCAGCAATTTATTGGCTTTAGACTTTTGGGACGCCCCATAGGACGTGGGGTTCGTCACGCCGAAAGACACATGCTTCACGAACAAGGGTAGGCTGCAAAAAATCACGTCGAACCAAGAAAGGCACGTGTTCGTAGAGTTCGTAGAACAGCCGCAATTCATCCGTCGGCTCCTCAAACACAACATATTGACGCTGAATCCAGACGCACTCCATCCACTCACGGTAGCGCGTATTGCTACAACCGTTCGAATGCAGACGCGACATGTTGCGTGAATCAATACTTACATCGAAGCACCACATCCGTTGGGACCGCGGAATTGCAGCTGCTAGCCGATAATTCACGATTTGCCACCGATGTTCGATAGGGTGCGATATCCCAGGCAGCTTGCACGACGTTAGAAGAGATACGAGAAACACATCTGAACCCTGTCCGTGCTCAGCACTCGGGCACCACGAAAAAATGACATCGTCACAACGCAAAGGCATCATACTGAGGAAATGCAGCGTAAGACCAGCTCCCTACCACCCCCCCCCTTGCACACCCTTGCATTCAAGGACGGAAAGAGCTTGTACCGCCAAACAGGCAAAGACGTAAAATCCTGAAAATCCGACATACATACAAGCCCAGACGAAGCGAAACATCGGAGCGAAACATCAGGATACGCCAATGCAGGGCTGTAAAACTGCACACAATCGCGTCTGAGCCCAACAGCCCCCGTGGAACGGGCAACTCCTGCGGGAAGAGGACCGCCTGGGCAAAAACATTGGAAATACACGCTCTTCCCCAGTGCAAGACTCCATCGGCAACGAAACAATTGGGTTGGCTACTGCTACCCTACCGCCTTCCTTATCCATCCTGCTTTCCGCCTCCGCCAAAGCTCGTCGGCACACGCAAAAAGAAGTCAACCAACAAAGCCCTCACAGCAATGGTCATTGCTGCGTTTCCGGCGTCGCGGTGACGACCTTGCTGCTCTTGAGCAGCTTCACGGCGAAGGCGGCAGCCCCGAACCCGTTGTCGATATTTACCACCGATACCCCCGGCGCGCATGCGTTGAGCATCGTTAGCAGGGGGGCAAGGCCGGACATAGCTGCTCCGTACCCGACGCTGGTAGGCACAGCCACGACGGGGCACTTGACTAACCCGGCCACTACCCCCGGCATCGCGCCGTCCATTCCGGCAACGCAGATGGCCACCCCCGCCTTCTGCACGGACGGGATTGCGCCGAGTAGCCGGTGTATGCCTGCCACGCCCACGTCGTG